GTTAAATAAATAATAATAACAGCTCTTACGGTATAGGCACCTAATTCATTATTGTTTACTATAAAAAAATGAAGCTCTGCTGTATTCAATTACATAAACAAAAATGCATCATTAGCTATGCACTTAATAGTAGTTTACCAATCACCATAATAAGCTGACAAGCCCATTTTAATACCATAACTTATCACATTTGTGTATAAACCTAAATGCATAGAGAAGTTGTTCTAACACGTCCATCACCAGCCTATCCCAATGTTTCATAACGAACCGCAATGATTAACCACTTTGAATTAGTTCATAGTTATTGGAGACAAAGTGTAGAGTTTCAAACGCATGCCGGATGCCAGAAGGCGACGAGTCGTGACCATGTCAGAAATGTCAGTCACCATTTACCTGACACCTTGCCATCAGTCAGTCACCAGCACCCGACACCTGACATCAGTCAAAGATGGCGACCATGACGAACACTACACTCCTGCTCCACGGTTTGCCGACCGTGGATTGAAGTTCTGCAACGAACGCTTGCAAATCAAATGTCATTACAAAATAGAGGCTCATGTTCCTACCTTGTAACAGTTTTCTGTGTGTATTTTCAGCTGAATGTTTGGCTATTGCATTGGGCACTGAGAACTAAGAGACGACAATATGAAAATCGAGACTTCTTTTTGCATTTATCTTTACTGTGGTCAACTATTTGTGTTCTTTACATCAATCTAAGATAAATTTAGACACCGATGCCTATCGATATGAGACTTTTTGGACTAGAAGGAACAGTTTTTCAGTTACCACTTGCTAATCTGACTATTCTGACTCAAATAAATCGTTACAAGTGATAATTAACACTTCCAAAAGTCTACAAAGACTTTACAGTCACAAAGCACCGCTACCTCTTCTATCAATCCGTCCTACTGATAAATCTACATTGACGAGATTATCTGAACTTACACAGATGTCCGTTGTTTATCATCGCTTAACTGCGCTACAATCGGTAAGCGGGCCTATTATCCGACATGAAATATTCATTGGCCACCGACACAGATTGTTGTCACTCGTATTATGCACCAGAAATCACTTAAGGCTGACTATAGAGAACTATTAGTGATAATTCGCTGTAATGGCTGCCCAAGCGAGTTTGCTGTGTACGACAGGACACGACGCAAATGTACCTATATAACGCAGCTAATGCCGATGATAGCGGTGTAATGCGTGCACATAACTAGGTTTTAAAAGAACTATGTGAGTTTTTGCTATATATCTTCTTGTAGGTTTGTGACAAACTCGTGATATTCGAGTTTTATTCGATAAAATATTTATCTTAGTGCAGTTTTTTAATCTTAGTATTTTTGTTTGGTAAAGCCCAAAATTTTTGTAGATATCTTTTTTGTAAAATTAAAAATTATTTTTATTAAAATCTAGTTTAACCCATAAATTACCAAGCGGTCACCGGTGACCGCTTTCCACTAATATTACATTACATTATAGACCTTATTTTTAAAGATCGGTTATTGGACAACATCATACGAAAATGTGCTAAACACAAATCTATCCAAATACATACAATAGCAAAATAAGTAACAAAATAATACCTTTTATTTAGTTGTGCATGTGAAACATAAACGTATAACATATATAACGTATGTATGTTTGTTAACACACCTACGATACAAGAAAACACCAAGTGTGGGGCAGAATTAAAAAAAAACTAAAGCAAAGGTTTCTATGTCGTACATAGTAACAGTAAACAATAATTAAAACGTCTCGAACTTATTTATCTAATGTTTGCATGCATTTTTAATAGCATTAGGCGTCTAGTCCAATAAATCAGCGTCCATTTACATTGCAAATAGGTAACAGATCTCTATGAAAACATTTGCAGTTTTACTAACAAATTATCAAGTATTAACATTAATAATATCACGCTACAGTTATCGAGTGGCTAGCGTCAAAACTGCGCTAATGAGCGCTCAGCATTCGCAATCTCGCGCCATCTGTCTCTAATCAACGAATCGAGTTAATTAAAACGCTTGGCAATATGGCGGCGGGGTGTAATTGCTATTAATAAAGCGCTTTCCCGTATAATTAGACGGCTGCGCGCGCGGATTGGTTGCTCGGCGGGCCCTAATCACGACGTGATAACATTGCGCTAATGGCGTGCATAGCTTTCTATTGCATAATCACGACCTGCGCTCTAACTGTCGACGGACTAATTCGGCTTTACTGTGTGAACTTACGTTCCGTTTATATCATAATATCCTAGCCTAATTATATTTCATTATACCGACTTGGATTACATTGATATCGTTCCTCGTTCACCCAATGGCTTGATCGTAAATATTTCGTCAACTCATCGTTTCAAGTTGTTATAATTAAAACATGTCATAACATGTGTTAATTGATTAATTAAAATTATAAATAAATTAATAAAACCTGAACAGTCGCTATTTTAAGTACTATTCATATAGGATTTATGGTTGAAAAAAAATGCAATTGTGCATAGCAGCAGATTCATCAAATGAGAGGTCGAAGGAAACAATGATTGACGAGTTCGCACCTCGGTTCGTGCCTTTCTAATTAAGACGACATGCGTGCGCGCACTGCTGCAACTCTTCGCGCTCGTTTAACTCACAACACACTCATCTTGTCTCTGCTACGCGCTTAATTGTTACATGAGCACTAACAATCTTCTAAACATTCTCAATATTACAGCTACCATTTAATAAACTGCAATCAACATGACACGAAACATTTCCGACTCACATTATAATAAAGTATATTTCTGTTACCATTAATAGCTTAGAGAGAGAGACCTTTCACATGAACAATACTAATCTAAAGTAGACACTAATTTATGACACACGAATAAATTTCAATCATAGAAATGTATTTTAACAATGTCATAACGATAAAAGCGCGCTGTAAACGGGCGCCTCTTATTTCTGTCTTCGGTACATGCTCATTAAAGCGAGTCATGTGCGCGTCTCGGCGTTCTTTTGCTCTCGCTCGCTTTTCCGCTAACTTTTGGGTGGTAGGATGATGGACGACGTCGGTGGTCATATATCATTGCGGTAATATATCGCGAGTGCGCCGAGTGTCGCCATTAACGCATGCGCGCAATTGCCCGTGCTCAAACGCCTGCACGCGCATGCACTATCGCGACTGCTATAAGAAGCGTCTCACAAATCGACGCGCGCGACCACAGCTAAACGTGCATAAATCTTATTAATGCTATTCTTATTTTCGTCCACTCTCTCGATCTTGTAAAATCATTAGAACTCGTAGAACGACTGTGCACGTCGTGTAGCTTTTGTTAAACATCCCAACGTTATATGGAGACATAAAATTTACTACGAACGAACGTCCCAATCAAAAATTATATTGTAAATCATAATACGTCTACACAATGATGACGAACAGCCTGGGTGGTCGACAGTCATCCCATCAGTTATGAAGTTCTTGTAGTCCGCGGGTCAAAAGCCGCATACCGTTTGCGCAAGCCCGATGGCGAATTGTCAAGCGATCTCGCGCACCGCTGCGCCTCTGGCATTGTCGACAAAAAGTGAGAGGCCGCTAGACGAAGCTGCGTCTCAGCTTACAACTAAAGATTTGTTGTTTCCGTTCTCGCCGCCTCAATGACTACCATTTTATGTCGATTAGGAGATAGTGTTTCACGCGCCCGCTACCGACACCAGTTTTTGTGACACTCCTTTCTGCTTACAACGAGTTTATTATCGTTGATCAGTTGCTGTCGGTTATTTTTTGTTATTTCTACATCAACGATTCGTTGTTCTACTTTTAGTTTACTTTTATTTTGTGCTAAATATTATATACTGTTCCCCTCTTCAAATTAGGAATGAATACAGGAAACCGCAGTGATATAAGAGAATGAAACGGGAGCTATTACATCGACCAACCGCAAGCCACTTTACTCACTGAACAAAAACATACACCTTTACAAAAATGTCTACCCATTCATCTTTCTCCAACGGAGACATTAAAGAATGTCTCCGTTAAGAAGGGGAAGGGGACGACAGCCTAGTATCAAAGTCGTATGAAACAATTCACGCTGAACCTTTATTTTCCCTTACACCAACACAAAGGAGGATTCGAATTTGAGCTCTATCGTTATAGCTTAGAATTCTTTGTAGGTTTTATTGTAAATATTTGTTATTGCTGACAATGTATCTGAAGCGGGGAGTGAACCTAAATATAGGCGGCAACCCTCTTAACTAGGGACTACGTTTATTGAGGGACACGCTGCACTGATGTGCCCCTTGTGAAATATGAAGTAGATTTTCCTTCTTTGGCCCCTCTAATAGACTTTAAGCCTGTGGTTACTACATTCATAATGCCACTAAACTTTTTGTTCTCAGATACAGTAGCGTACATAGGTGTACCTAATGTTATTCATGTTACTTAAGAGTTTTATAATATGTTATTTTGTGGTGTTCCGATACACGAAGTACCTATATATAGGTACTAATTACATGCGATAATTTGCGATACGATAACACCAGTCCCTAATGAGGGAAAGTAGATTTGTGTCGGTCTCAGCGAGCGATAATTTCAGTTCAGCCGAGTAATTGACGAATAATTGCGTTAATGTGAAAATATACGGTTTAACATAACAATGGAACGAGGAAGTCGATAGTATAGAAATGTATATTGTTATAATTTTATGTTTTGCACAAACAAGCGTTTTGATATAATTGCTGAGTGCGGTTTCTTTGTACTTTGCCTTAGTTTTATAAATGTCTTAGCCATATTCTATTTTATCCAACTTGTATCGTTTACCTCTTTCGTAACGATAATTATCTAAAAAGATTATTCATGCTACTATTGCAATATTTCGAGATGAATTCTATTAACCCTATAGAACCTACAGATTAATCGACTATTGCAGGCTTTTCAGCTAGCTAAAGTAGAATTATAATTATTATTAATAAAGCATTACGTAAATAACTTAATCTAAATTCTAATGTGTTCCCTTTCATTCGTATCAGACGCATGTTCCCGACGGTACGTGTATCGTTCGCGGGGTGCCGCGCGGACGCGCGCTACGCCGTGCTGCTGGACGTGGTGCCGGTGGACGGCAAGCGGTACCGCTACGCGTACCACCGCTCGTCCTGGCTGGTAGCCGGCAAGGCGGACCCGCCAGCACCCGCGCGCCTCTACCCGCACCCTGACTCGCCCTTCTCCGGTGACCAGCTGCGCAAGCAGGTCGTCTCCTTCGAGAAAGTCAAGCTCACCAACAACGAAATGGACAAAAATGGACAGGTTAGTCAAAATAATATTGATATTTAAGATGAAGCAAACAGTTAGTGACCAAACATGCAAAAAATATAAAAACATCAATTAAGTATTACTCTGAACAAAATCTGTAACGCTTTGTTTTTACTTCTGCAACAGCTGGTCCTGAACTCCATGCACAAATACCAACCGCGCATTCACCTAGTGCTGCGACGAGAAGGAGCTATCAATGCGCCCATCACAGACCTAGAACAAGAAGAATTCAAGACGTTCATATTCCCCGAGTGCGTGTTCACTGCCGTCACCGCGTATCAGAATCAACTCGTAAGTACTGTGACAGTTTTGGCACAACTTGTTTACTATTGAAGTCCATTTGCTACGTACGCGGTTTATTTGGCATCAGGAGTCCTGTTCTTAATTCTATCATTTGATTTCTAAAATAGATCAGAGAGACAAACGTTTGAAATTGCATAGCGCCAGTCGGCTGACTATCGACGAATGCTATTTGAGTCGCACTAATTGCATCTCGCTGAAAGGTATGTCCAGTCTGAACAAAGGGAGGTGACACATAATTTTTTGTGTATCGACGGCCACACGCGGGCGACGCTGACGACGGACGGACAGCGCGTCTGACGCGTGCAACACGGTGACGATTAAAGTTTTCACCCGAGCTAAATATAAAGTCCTAGTAGACGTCGAGTCGATCGTGTCCAGCGACATCTCAGCTATTATTGCCATTGCTTTTTCCATGTATAATTTCCTCGCCGAAGATTTCCGAGAACTGCCCGTTAAATTATGTCAACTTTCAAGTTAAACGTTCTCTGAAACTCACGTACCAATTTCGATCACCAACGGTAAACCATTCGTGATTCATTGGGCTGCTGTGAAAATAAGCTTCGCAAAAGTTTCTCGCGCGTTGCACTTTGTAATTATTCGGCGTGCGAAATGTCTAATGACAGGTTAGGTGTGACTATGAGTAGTAGTTTGATGATTAAATGAGATATGTGTGCACTAAATAAATCGGACGAGTTGATTAAGTAACACTTTATACAGCGGCTCGCTGCCCGCTCCGCTCGTAAAGTCGCGGATGTAGTGCCCGCCGCCGGCAGCGCATGTGTCGCCACGCGCAATTAATTCTCTGTCACAAGAGCGTTTGGGCGTCTCCAAGTTCCTCGTTTTGTATCATCCCGCGTAGTAAAATAATTAGGACGTTTTGAGGTTCATAAAGGAAACGTTACTTTATATCGACAACGCGGTACATAAATCTTCATTCGTTCGTTAATTAGCTGTTACGGGTTCGGTTTAGTGTTACCATTTGTAGATATTTTGTTACTTGAACCAAATTTATTTATACAGAAAAGCTTTTTGTAATGCCACACAATCAGACAAAATAAAAAAAACGTAATATTATATACGTGAAAGTTCACATCGCAAACAGAGCGTTTTATAGTAGTTATGACTTTTTGTCTGGAAATAATTAGGCGGTTAAAGAGTGATAATCAAAGACATTTTTTTTCTTTTGACCACGCGGTAGGAGTCGTGGGTGAGAAGCTAGTATGCACTCACCTGAATAATGTCAAGTACTTTGGACATAAAACCATGTTTACTAACAGTACACAGGATGATAATGTTGATAGGAACAGGTGGCCATTAGTGTAAAGCATCAAGCATCCATTGATCGCTCTGCGGAAGCTCCACCTTCGCAGTCGGCTTCCAACGACTCCCCAGGGTCTGTGATTATAGATTTTCATTGATTCTAACGCGTGCCTAGATTTACTGCCGCTGCCTAGTGACAGTGCCATCCATTACGAATGCGATGTAGCTACTTAGATATGCATACATGTGTAAGCTGGCTACAAACTACACAAGTAGAAGGATGATATGCATATTTAAAAAGTTAAACCAAGGCTGAGGGCGTTATATTAAATAAGATATAAAAAGGTCATTTGATACCGATTACATACAATTTCAAAATGTCGAAGGTAGATAAACTACCTACTTGACGAGGTAAAAAGCTCGATATCGAAACTTCGATCGCGAGTGTCCAGGCGGGCGGCGCGCGCGCACCTCGATTTGGCTGACGTCACAACTCTGACAGCTAAAACATTTGTCGAACAGCGGAGATAGTGTCATTGATAACTCAATCCCTTATAACAATAAGAACACACTTAGCATGTTTGCACCTGCGCCGTGCCAACCAAGATCGATAGAGCCCGCATAACTTTATGTTGTATAAAAAGTGGCCAGTTTAACACTTCATAAAAAACGATCATATAATCCTACAACACTTATTCGAGAGATAAGAAAATGTGAATATTTTAACCACTATCTAGATATGTTTTCTAAAAAAAGTGTCACCGAAATTAAATGCGCGCGCGACGTTTGTTAAATCGATGGGAATGAAACATCATTATTGGTGCTTTATCATATCGAAATGTTGATATAAGATGAGATAAAACATTTTACAAAAAATGTGAGGTGTGTTTTTTGTGTGTGTATCGCGGTGTGAGACTGAGCGTCGCCTGCGCGCGCGCCGCGGGGCGGTTTCCCGGGAAAGCGCCGTGGGCCCGACCCGCTTCAATATTTAAAATTTTTACACCCACAACACTATTGTCCTGTTGCTCGTTTTCTCTAGAATCCTTTGTCTGAGATTGGACTCGCATCGAGGTGACAATGTTTGTTGGACTTTACGCATCCTCAATGCACACAATGCGTTTTTTTATTAGCCGATGACTTGTGAATTTGTTATGATCGATGGCCTCGGGAGGATATTCTTCGAGTAAAAACTTGCGGATAGCAACCTGCGACGATATGTTAGCTTTGTAAATAAACATGTATATTATACTTTACTTTGTCCAGAATTTTTGTTTATCAATAACAGTCTTTGATGAATCCTTTCGCAGAACAATTTAAAATCATTGTTCAGTAGGCACAACATTACCCTTCTCATATTGTGTTTGGAATCGATATTTTATTTGTATAAAGTAAACATATTTTTGTTTCTTTTCATTGGATGGTAAAGTAAATCCCATCTTCCACCTGCCGTTACTCGGGGTCAAATTTTATCTTTTCAATCATCGTTCTAAAAAACCGATTAGGTATACATATTTATTTTGATTTCGTAGATACGATCAATCAAAGCGATAGGTTCATGCTTTCTGAATATTAATTTTATTAACAAGTAGGTGATAGGTATTACCTACATCAGAGTCCAATACGTCCAATGGGTCATACAACGAACAGAATACGATTGACAAATACAAAACAAGATAAAAACATTAGAGAAATCGTGTCAGTAGTAGACTATTTGTTAGTCATGCTATATCACACTATTACGCGGCTTGAGGAGATAATCACGAAAATAACTGCGCACGCTCACTCACAGTCACAAGTGTAAGTAGAAGCAAACACGCTCAATACGCGCTTAATTGAAATTTATATCTCATTTCTCAGTATCAACAATCAATATTCTAAAATCTCCAAAGCTATTCTCACATTGAGCATCCACAAACGAGTTCCACTCGAGTATAATCGAACAATATAATGAAGGAGTAAAGGTAAACACAATTTCAATAACAAAGGGCGACCATGACAAATAAACATATTTCACGGGCCAAAATGGCTGCGGTCAGGTGTCACGTGGTGTCCCCCCGCACCCCCGCCGCCCCACCCCCTCACGTTTCCTTTTCTTCACCAATAATCGATTCATTCTTTTCAATACGATCCTTTTATATTTGTTAAGTTATTGCTCGTTTGTACAACATTGCTTTGTTGAAACTCTCCTTTATCTTGTCATTAGTTTCTTCAATGAAAAGCTTTTTTCTTTTTTCAAATAGATTTCCTTTTCTTCAGGTTAAATACGTTCGTGTACTAGAATGGTTAAATAGAGCATTTTATCATAACAATTCTTTTAGTGGGTCATTACACAAGAATCTATCTAACTTGTTTTTATTTGCAAAGCACTGAGGACTTGTGTGTAAAGAAGTATAAAACGAATAGACAGCTACGTTATTATTCGACACAACCAATTAAATAAAAAAACGTTGCTATAAAACCATCAATGTCTCTGCAACAGTTCATTATTTAATAATTCAATAAATAATAATGTTCGATAACACGAAACGCACATAAGTCAAAAATACAAGAAGTCAACGTACTTGCTTAAGAGTGGATTTAAAATAATTTAAGATGAAATTATTTATTAGGTTTGTGTCCCTTTCTCTCTTAAGCCATGTTACCCACTGAGTTATATGCTGGTCTCAGTCTCTCCTACCATCGATCACTGGAGGTGTGACGTCACGCAGAGCCGTCGTGTGCGGCCCGACTCAATTTATTGCGCCTGCGCACCAAGCCACTACAGAAAAACTAAACATTTGTTTGTATACCAAGTCTTTAATTAAATTTACAAATATCATTCTGTCTTATTCGTAGATATTATTAAGTTTGACTTGCAAAAAACACTCAATAACAAAGAGAAAACTTAACACCTCTTCCACTGATGTGCAATTTAATTTTTTAACACGTTATTAAATTTATATCGAACCTTTTTATATGGTTTCTTATTCTACATTTTTAATAGCTATAGAATCAAGTGTCTGTTTGAAATATGTCAAATTCACTCCGGATAAGATATTTACACCATTACAAATAATTGATGCATTAAAAATTTATTTATTTTGAGATGTGGCAGATTGCCTACTCGCTTATATTTCGAGTTTACAGCCATAACTACGGGCACGAGTGTAAAGTTGACTTGATACTTACTGTGGGCCCTTTGAAAGACCTTATGAATCGGTTGAATAGGGAAGCGATCGACAGAGTTTCGAGTTACTAAAAAGCGAGTTTAGCAACAGAATGAAATTGACAAAGGCAATAAACAAATTGAGTACAAGACCTGAAGGTAGCTGAGATGTGGATGTGCAGGATGATAGTGAAAATAGTGACGGAGATAGCAGACGACCTGTATAACCTGCACACGTTGTCATTTATTGTGTCCGTGGGCACAGTACGGGAGAGTCTGCAGCTCATTGACGTTCTAGACGAGGACGAGAATACCTGACACCCCCAAATTTATTTATCAATCTGAAAATAAACCTTATTTTCAAAATCATTATGTTTTGTTTTTGTGTGCCAGAGTTGCAAGTAGGTTGAACAATCGAAATAAGAAGACTCGATCCAATATGCTTGCCCAAATGCTCCCCACATTGATTACTTTGCTTTAAATCCACGAATGAAACCGTTACCTCAAATATTTGCCTTATTGACAAAAGTTGTTTACAATCCTGTAGGTAGATGTGCATACTAAACAAGTTTTGGAACTGCAATTAATTCGGAATGTTCAGTACACTTTCTGGGAATATTATCACATATATTGGTCCGGTTATACGTGGATGCCACATGCAGCGTTCATTATTTAGGTGCATTCACGAATTACTGTCAATAAAGCATCGGTTTTCTGGAAAGCATCGTTACAGTGCGCAGCTGTAGGTCGTACGAGTTTCACGAGACTTTTGATACCAGAACACTTTGCGGAACTCTCATTAAACAGCTTCACATAACTACATTCGCTTAACTGCCATATTATTCAGAGGTTATACTCACGAATTAACGGACGAGTAAAATTAAGAGAAACAGCTCTTCTATTACACTTAAGGCACAGCACTTAAACGTTAAACGGTTCTAAATATATGTATTTCCAGTCGATTAGGGCATGTTTGCGTTCATTAATTTCAGTTAATTCTCCCAAACAATAGAAAACTAATTTCAAGCATAGTGAAATGCTTTCTTAATCATGTGTTTTTATTGTTTTTTCAAGATTAGATGTTACTTTTATGTTTTCTTTTACTATTCTACAAGGAGAAACATAAATATGCCGTTGTTTTGTCTGTTAATACATCACTAGCAGATTGCTGAGTCGTCGTTCGTCGCAGTACTGCATCAATCAATGAGATATGTAGGCAGAAGGAGCGCGCGCGCAAGCTAACGTGACATTTATATATTCTTCACAATGTTCCTGTCGTGTCCCGATCGTCGCTCACGTGTCCCTTTACACTGCGCACCATTTCGTCTTGTTATGAACTGTCACTAAACATTCTAAACGGCCATTCATTAGCATACATTTTTACTACATTTGTTCCTTATGTAGGAATATTTAACTAAATTAAACTCGACATTGGAACAATAATAACATTTGGTAAAATGTCTTTCATGCAAATATCTCATCTCTTATGTCTTCGTATGTAAATGCTTAAATAAGACATAAATTCTCCTCAACTCGGCAGCTTCATTTATAAGCGCACGTGCAAGACATCTGTGGACAAGTTTTTACTGTCAAATCGGAGTATGAATCGCGGAATACGAGGCTGGTACTTCCATAAACAATACATCACCACCCCAATAATTAGAGCATCGTTTGCAGAGCTGCGCGCGCGGCGGTCGCGGTGTGGCGGTCGGTGGCGCGACACTCATCTTTCTCTCTTTGACGCCTTTTTGTAAGATTTTTTGTTTCCCGCCCGGGAATAATGTCATTATGGCGCCTTTAATGTTGTCAGTGAACGGGAGCGCGCCGCCACCGCCGCCGCCCAAGGCGAACGTTTGTTGATACTTAAATTAGGTTGTTTTGACACGCCTCGTTCTTATGTTTGTACTAAATCTAATAAACGTCAGTAGCGAGAAAGCGTCTCATTCATTATTTCGGTGTTCTCTTAGCGATAATATATTTTAAGTAGTTTTGTATAATTCAATGCGATGGTACCGTGGATGAAATGCCAGTGGGAGTAGACTGGGTGTCGTTTACGTAAACGGCATTCAAAAACAAACATGAGGAATGGAAACAATTACGGTGCGGTGGGACAGTGTGGCATACATAATGTATAATCCGTCAATATTGTCAGCTACTACTCGCATTGTGGTGGAGTCATTACGTGTGGCGCAGGCGCGTCGAGAGTGTCGCCATTGTAGTCAATGGCGCTGCCAGGTGGGTGTGCAAGTGTAAGTAGGTGCCGCGACATGCCGGTGACCCTCGCACCGGCCGCGCCCCTTTACTGACTTAATGCACTCGGCCAATAAACACCTAAAAGAAACCTAAGCTAAAGACAACCATTAATTTCCAGTACTAATCTTCCTCAATACCATGATATCCTTAGCAAAAATCAATCATATTATTCAAACATCTAATTCATGGTAATCTAATGCAAGACGGAGCACATTCTTCGAGGCAACTGACAACGCTTCATTCATGTTCCGAGGATGAATGTCGATTAGATGTCATAGTGGTGAACAAACCGAGCCAGGATCCGATTTCCATTCCAAGAGGGACAAATATTTGAATGGAATTTACATATTCCTGCCGTTGATGCTCATAATTATTATTTAGAGACCATGCGTTATGGGTATCAAAGAAAAAACAAAATAAAACCACTTAAGTTCGGTCACTGATATTTTCGTAGCAAAATTCATTCATCAGAGAAGGTAATAAGCAAACGACGGGTATAGACATATTTTTAGAAGAGATAATGTTAAATGGGCCACGAGTGGTAACAAATGTTCTTTGTCTAGTTTCTCTGTAACTATTTTCGAAATCATTAGTCTTCGAGTGACACGTTGCTCGTGAAATTACTCACCGCAAAACAGAACATGACGTGGACCGGTCAATATTTGGTACGGTTTATGAATTCCCTTTGATCAGGGACAATGAGACGGAGATATTTAGTCAAAGCATTTCATAGATTAACGGTGATCAAGTCAAGTCTGATGGAACACTTCAAACGCAACATAAATATCTTCAACGAAAATTAAGAAGTTAATTGTCGCTACAATGGAATGTCCGCCTGCAATAAACTAAACGTTTTACAATGTAACACTGATTGTAATTGGTTTTTTCTGAGGTTTTTTGTAACTTGTCTTTGTTTTGAAGTGATTGTACTCAAAAGAATTCGATAATTAATTGTAAAAAACGAACATTTCAAAAGCGTCACAGAAATAATTTCATCATAGATCAACGGTTCAGTCTGTTAATAAGAGTGAGAGAGAATAAAGGCACATTGTCTTATTTTTGACAGCATTTTCGTCAATTTAACACTTGGCTAAACACGTTACATTTTTGCGTAATTTCTTGAGTTCGTTGTGCTAAAACTTGCGCAGTGTGAGTGTGAACATGTGAGAACAATGTACAATTAGGTGTCGCGTAGGCGTATGGGCAGAGCTACAGGTATGCAGCGGGCGCGGCTGCCGGCTGCCCGCTGCCCGCGACTCAATCGCCAGGTAATTACCGTCGCCGACTGGACATGCTGAAAGATTGACACCACCGCGACCACTCTCGATGACTTGTTTATTGCCCGCCATTAAAAAATAATACATTTTTCTCACCTCCACGTCATAAAACTGCCAAGGATATGCTAAAATTAGTATCGATATTGGTTTAATCCGTTCGGATATTAGGCGAGCAGGCGCTATTTAATGGTAACAGGTTTCCGTGGAAGGTTTTATCGTAAATATTATTCACAAATTGTGTGGAGCCGCAGCAGGGGTGCTGCCACTCAGCGAGGGGGCGATTTTTCATCGACGCTGCCTCTGCTCTGCCAAACACATTTTTTAACACCTCGCCCCGAACTTAAATCAAATATTTACCCAATACTTAATTTCACTTTTTTTCGTATCTTTAATGGTTGCTTAAATATACCATTAGGTATAGATCATTAGATCTATTACCATTATTACAGAGAAACTAGACAATAACAAATTAGACTTCTAAATACTTAAATTTCTTCAATAGTACGCTTCTATTAAGTAGCTCTCGCTGAGTTTATTCAGTCTTGTTTACAAGCCTCATATTAGTCTGCTATACTCAAGACTAAACAGAAATGAGCTTCCTTATTCTTTCTTAATCGACAAAGCTAAAACATCGTAGACCTGTTTCTACCAACAATAGTCACTAAAACACCATGAAACCCACATTACGTGGCAGGTTTAAAATGTGCACAGTATCGTAATAGTGTGGTAGTCAAGTAAAGTGATAAACTGATGTGGAATGTCGTCAATAAGTTAACCTTATTAGTTGGTGTGTGCTGAACGCCACGGGCGGTAGTGCTACGGGCCCGTTCACACTGAGATATGCAGAACCTTTACTGACCCATTACAATATAAACGGCTGCATAATGAAATTAACTCGCTTGGTCTGAACAGCTCCTTATGATAATCGTCGACCCTTCTCTTCCAGGGATATCGAAACTGTACTATTCCATCGATATAATTACACCATTATTTGTATGAACACGTTTCTATAAATGTTGCATCTAAATGTCTATTCGGAGGAAATCATGGTGTCTCTTTTGTTTCAGATCACGAAACTGAAAATCGACAGTAATCCATTCGCTAAGGGATTTCGTGACTCTTCACGTCTCACCGAGTTTGAGAGGTAACTATCACATTAATGTCTGCGGTTAGAGGTGTCATTTATTGATACTGTTATGTAGTCCCATATATTTTCTCTATACCAGAATGTTTGTAGCGAAAGAAACTGTTATTTTGTAATGATGATAATTAATTAGATGGACACACGACAGTGACAGCTATTTATTATCACTGCTAAGTGTTCATTAAGCTTAGCTCGTGCCACACAATTCGGTTAGTTCTCTAATCGTACACGCATTGGACACGCTCTCAGAAACAAACATAACTGTCTGATGCTGATTGATATCTCCACGCGAGCAATTATGTCTCAGTATTTATTGCTTCTTAGCCAATCCAACGTATTTAATAGCGGGTGAGCCGACATCAAGTTTCCACCCGTGTAATTTATAATCTAACAATTTCTCTCACCACATTCGCTTTGCAAATACAAATTATTGCTCGCTTTCGCATTTCTAATGCAGCTCTATGTTCTCTTTATATTTGGGTGTTTTATTTTTTTTTGTTTGTCTGTTGAGATACTATATCACGGGGGAGCACGAAAGAACATCAGTCTTCCCCGACGACGCGCGCTACAGCGCCGCCAGTCATAGGTAGATACGATCATACAATCATATTACATAACTGCTACAACTTACTCGGAACGAGCAAGTGTCTAAAGTGTAACTCCTTACCGTTTCAGGGAGACCATGGAGTCGATGTTGGCAGAACAACATTTCCTACGTTCACCACTGCGACCGTTTGATCTGGACCAACATAACAACAACTTAACGTTGGAGGAGAAAGCGATATTGGCAGCACGGTCACAACTGTTCCTGCGTGCAGCATACCCGCTGTACGGTGTGCCAGCCGCGGCGCTGTGGGGACAATGGGCGTGTCTGGCGCCACAGTTGCTGGCGCAACAGCATCTCGCTGCCTCTGGGTCTGGCTTGCAGCTGCCGCGACCGGTGTACCCGGGAGCTTTGGGTGCGGGTGGTGCGGGTCCGCAGCCGCTGGCTCAGCACCGATTCTCGCCTTACCCTGCTCGCCGTGCCTCACCAGGGTCCTCACCAGACTCGCTGCGCGACGCCAGCCCGCACCCTTCGCCACTGCACCCGCCGCATACTCCGCACACCCCACACGCGCCGCACCCGCCCCACAGCCCCACTTAGTGATAAAACGCGGAATAAAAACCTCCCCGAGATCTCCCTGTAATAATATGCGATATTGTATGAGAGTCTTTATATGGAATGTTTCTGAGAGAACACAAAAGGAAATTTGAAGTGCGTCGGTGTTTCGCTGGGAAACGAGATGGCATCGTGAACTTCGATAATTTTATGCGCCGACAAGTGAATAAACAGAGTGCGAGTGCGTGGAGAACATTTCGAAGTGCGGCCTGAAACGTGCGAGTGGGAACACCGCGCACCGCGCGCTCCTCAAACTGTTATTACTCAGACTGTGAACTTGTATTATATTGTAAAATATTATTTAACTGTACTTTAAATCTGTAATTATTGTTATATGTTCCTAATAGTTTCGTCTCGTAGTGATGGTTTCTGCTAAATTCATGTTATAGCAAATTAGAGAGTCTCGCAAAAACTAAGCATTTGATTGCCGTGTACATTTCGTTTGATTTATTTTGTAACTGGAGAAATAGAATATTGTGAGAGCATTACTGTATGAGCTGTTGATGTCGTGGACGTTGGTCTCTCAATATTAGTGGCACTCGACACTACTTGGCTGATTTCATCTTGTTTAGGTAAAATGTGCAATACAAGAGAATTAAAAATTGTTTTAGTGAAACTTAGAAGTTTAGTAAGATATAGATGTATCGATAAATAATTAAATAGTAGAAATTATATTGCTGTCTATGTTTACATTAATTCCTGCATCCAAACGACAAGCGGATGTATAGATGTACCTACACGGTTACTTTGTAGTTAAATTATAGTTATTAAAAATAATATATTGCTAAAGAAAACAATTAAATGTTTGTTAACATATATTTACTTTGTTTTATTTTTTTCTTTTAATAGGTAAGTTGGAACTGGAAGGCGCATAAAACACATATCGATTTCGAATCGAATCAATGGATTGTAAAGAAAATGATACGAAAATCGACTTGATCAATAATTTATTCTAGTTAGGTATGTTAAGAGTCCTTAGTTTTATGAGACTTACACCTTCATCCATAAAAAATCCTACGAACGAATGAAATCTCCAATAGCACTGCCCGATTCGAGAATCGAACCCAAGACTCGATCCAAGAAACTTCAGACACCGTGAAAATCGACAAACACACAAAATTGGTAAGTAAATTGAAAACAAAACGAAATAAGACGCTACGAACGCTACGAACTGAATTCGAGCAGGTAGGTTACCTTCCTGCTTACCTACCTACCTATTTAGTTTACTGAGATCAGGTACATGATAGGTGATCTTAATCATAATAAAAATATTCACCGCAAAACATAGGCTTAGGCATAGGCAATAAATACATAACATAACATCACACCTTTATCCCCAAAGGGGTAAGCAGAGGTGCACATTACGGCTCTTAATGCCACTGTACAATGTAACACCCACTTTTTACTATTTATGTTATGAGTCCCATGTAATAGGGGGTGTACCTATTGCCATAGACCGGGCACAATTCCAGACTCCGTATGCAACTACTGATTCTCAGTATTTAAAAACCCAGGAATACTTTTGCTCGACCCGGGAATAGAACCCGAGACCCTATGTACTTGTTATTGACTGCCTCATTGACCACTCGGCCAATGAGGTAATCTACTTATAAATACAAATGAGTGATATGCCCGTTTTCATTAACCCCTCCTAAACTTTAAGAAACCCCTGAGCTAAGATAGGTTAATAGGTGACATTTAGCGGCGTTTTAGTTTTCACCAACTTATAAGTGACTCCTAACATTACAAGTAGTTGTTAGTTTGCTGCTGCGTCATGTTAAGAAACTCTTAGTTACAAGATGGTTACCCCTAAACCTTTTTGCGTTTGCTAGGTGAAAACGGCCATTGATACGTGGTATAAAACTCGCCCCGACTTTATGCCAAACACGGGTCAAAGGGACCAAAGTAGTGCATCGGTATCATTACACCTCTTGTTCTCCCAATTGACTAATTTCCTAGGTTTAAAATAAATTGTTTCAACTTCTCAATGCAATAAATAATTAAAAAATAATCATACTCTCATCCATTGATTTGACAATTTAACTAGTTTTGAATTATTTCTCACTAATTTTAAGGAAATAAGTATGTTGTTTGACGCAGGAATATTTTGACGTCATAAGTTGCGTTCCAATACAAAATTCTTATTTTTGACAATTCTATAGAAGTATTGAATTTGACTACCTGTCAAATACCGTATTCCCCACGCCTGCCTATTCAAACTCCGTGTTCCTGAATTTCGAAAATGGAATACCCAATCACACTGGCCCGACCGACTGTGTAATAAGCGCGGAACTAATGACTCAACAGTCTCACTATCCTTCAAAAATCGAAACAGTTACATTTAAAAAAAGAATTCTGACGAAGAGAATCGTCCTTTTTGAAGTTCTAGCTAAAGCTACATGCGATATACTCCAGTTTGACATCTACTTACATTGACATAATATACATAGGTACATACATAAATTATCAATTACTTAAAAATAAAGCACGTGTACCTTATTGCAAAATAATAGTCCATTTCATACTCATTTCAGTGGACTGTTTTTTTTATTAGGAACCTCCTATTTGACAAAGTAAGCAAAAAACACTATTATCTATCTACTTTTTGGGTATCTTGTATATCTTATCTGATAACATAACCTAAGTACGTATTATGTAAATACGAAAATGAACTACTTATGATAATAATGAACCTTATTATCGAATTTTTCATCAAGGTCAGAATTGTCGTTTTTGTAAAAGGGAGTTAGTTCACAACAAATTGTTTGTAATTTACTATATGGCCGGTAGATGGCGGTGGGTGTCGCTTTAGCTACGTAATGTTGTAGAGAAGCTCGGCTCGGAGTTTTGGAGCAAGCGATAGCAAGCGAGCTTTTTGTTACTTGGTTTATTTGTATGTCTCTATTTTATCTATTTTTAAATAGACATAGGATAGTTAGTCCTAAGAATTATTCTACTTTTAGGAATTACTGTGGTCGCCTATTTATCTACTGAGCCTTGTGGATAACACAAAGCGTTGTAATTAATCGAATCCTAAACACGCTGTGTAGCAGATGGTTGCCCTGCAATTTGCCTTGCAATGGTTGGATGGTTGATGTTATCTTTATATTGACTAGATGCGGAAATGTATAAATTCATATTCTCAGTTCTACTATAAAAATTGTTTATGAAAGTCTAGTTCTTTTGTTGATAAAAACATTTCAATTAGCACTCGTATTGTCTAGTTAGTACAGAACAGAAAGTGTGACAGATTGCAAAATGGCAACAAATTAGAGGGACGTCGGGCAATTATGCAAAGCGGCTATAAAGTTATCTTTAGGAAAACAACGGCGTCACCCCACGCCAACTATTCAATTAAAATGAAGCAGTGTCGGGCCAACATTCGAGTCACATAGGAAGGGTCGACTACATCGAATTAGTTGCGCGCGTGGCTATATTACTGGGACAAATTTCGGGTCTCTAGGGTGCTAGAGAGACCCGCAGGGCCGTGAATGCAACGCTAATCTAATCGGGATTGTACCTAATAAATGTTGTAGCCAGTGACACTGCCACCAAGAATTTATTGCTTGTAAAAGTGTTTCCAATCGCAGTTATTGTTCGGATGACGCTCCAAATAAACTCCGATTGAATTTAACGTTTGACTGAATATTTCATTTGATTTTAGTGCCGGTGGTAATGTTGTTGCTTTAATTAGTTTATTTATTAACTAAGGGAGTTCTTTTGCAAGGTATTGGAACTGATCAACTGGTGGTATAATAATTATTTAACGTTGGTCAAATATATTATGATTAGGTATGTTTATTGATGGCCTCTTACATATTTCCATCTTCTAAATATATTTAACGAAGTTTTTTATAAACTTTTACTTAACTTTGTATGGTTTTTATTTACCTAATGCAAATTATGAAAAAGAATTACCTCCCACGGCTTTGAAAAAACTCAACGGTGCCAATCAAATCATAGATCCCTTTACACTCACAATTCACATTCACGTCCACTACCCTAACAAACAAATGCAAGGGAAACAATCTAAACATAAACAAAACAATGTCCTATCATGCTTACAGCACTCGAATCTGAAATAGCGACCACCTAGTGAACATAACATGAAGTGAAACATAAGTGAACGTAGATAAATAGAGACAAAGCCTTATTCAGTGTGGCTTATCGGGCGGGATGGTGGAGGGTTTGTAATACGGCGTTATTGGCCACTCGACTCATAATCCCCTTTTAACTGCGCATCCCGAGCCGCGGCGACGTGCCTCGAATCTTTATATACAGTTTCTTCTGGTCGTGAACATTCGCACTCCTTAGCTCGGATGTCGACGACACCGCGTTACGTGTTCAGGTGACTTGGACCTCAAATTGCTTGTGTTTCGATAAGTTAACCGAGTTCGAAGATTAAGTTAAATGTATTGGTTATGGTGACGTGTAAGCATAATATGTACAATTAAGCAATATGGATGACAAAACAGCAAGTTGTAGCTCATAATATAAAGATTCAAAAACATTCGCTTCTATTTTCTACTGCAATGATAAGGTCTACAGCGTGTGGTGACGTACCGTGCCATGCAAGATGGAACACATAAGTTCTCCGGCAATCAAACCGGAACAGAAATTTTACGATGTAACGTAGACAGTTTGAGCAACAGACATACCTTCTGTTTCCAACATTCGGGTTGTAAAGAACAATGTTCTATATCATTTACATAAAGCTTGATTTAATACATAGGTACGGAGGCTGGGAGACAGGGGTGCAGCACCACAGCCGGTGCTAATGTCGCTCGGCGCGGCGAGCCCACACATCTCCACATTTCAGTAAAACTGCAAACGTAACGGGGTAATAAATTCACGTTTATTACCGCAAATATATGTACTCTTACCTTGGCAGTCGCTACCGGAACAAATCGTAGGTCCGTCGTTTACGCGGTATACGCGAAACGTGTGTTATGAAATATTAACGTAAACGTGCGCGTTTGCTGAAACAATGCATATAGAATAGGTTTTAGGCCTCATCGCTAAGGTGGGCACATTATCAGAATGGACCGCTAATGGAATTGAACATTTTTATTTATTGCCCGTGTGTTCAATGGTTCGTGGCGTTTATATGGATCCGGTATAACTCACTGTTTATGATTATTTTATTAACACTTTAATGTTTAACGTCTAGTCTATTACCTACGGTAGAATTCATTTAAAAGCAGTTATCCAAAACATTAATTAACTATTTTATTGCGTATCAACATTAATATACAACTTGTTCTTGTCAGCTAAGAAAAATACGTTTGTATCTAGGTTCAAATACCATTGTTTGTGGAGTGATCTAATGATTGCTCTATCCGTTTGTCGCTCTCACTTCAAATAATGCAGTTCTCAGAGTTCGTAGCGCATATTGCAACTCGATAAAGTTATTCGCGTTCAATAACGCGAATGATCTGACTTTTCCCGTTTTTCCTTTACGAATGGCTACTCTCTTCCTCCACCCCCAGTCCGTCACCTCCCCCGACCTCCCCTTGCGGTGCAAAGTTGAGGGCATTAGCGTGTTATCGGCGGCAGCGGCGTGAAGAAGGCGCCCACCTGAACTGCTATTACAGTACCCCCGACGACACGAACAATTACGATTGAACCAAATTCCACCAAACACATTGCGCACTGGAAATGAAGGGCTCAGGAAAAGCTCCTAAGGAACAACGCAATGAACACCAATCTACATATTTAGCTACATAGTCTCTAGAATCCTTAATAGGTGTAACAGATACTATCTATAAGCGTTGAGATGTGGG